AGCTCCCCCTTCCAACCTTATCTTAGACACAAGGTCAAGCTCAGGTTCGCTGCTGCCACCGGCCCCCCATCATGTACCCACTCCCTGGCCCTGGCCCCCAGTCTACTTCGGGGGGATGTCTTTTAAGGCAACACTCTGTGTTCTGTGCCACTTGGATTTCCCTGGGACACAGGCATCATGGGCAGGACGGAGGTAGCTGAGAGGTGTTACTTGATTGGGAGAGGGGTAGAAACCATAGATGACTGTGGAGGATGAAGCCTAGTGGACAAGGAGGTAAAGATACTTCCAAAAAATAGAGAACCAGAGAAAGACAGGGGCGGGCTATGCAGAGGAGACCACTGACCTGGTTCTCTCCCCTTTCGGGCCGCCTAGTAGGCTCAGAGACAGGCCCCAGGATAACAAATGCATCCTTTGACGCCTGTTCAGGCCATCTGACAAGTAGAAATTTGAAGCCCTGAGGGGAGAGGAGTTTTGACTAAGGCCTTGCGTGGCCCCACTGACCTGAACCTCTGACCCGGAGCCAGTGCTCTGAGACAACTTGGAAACCCTTCAAGTAGATTCGAGCCCTGTGCCCACCCTAACTCCAGCTGCCAGACCAGCAGGGGGCAGAGAAGCCACAGCCTGCCCAGATTTGCAGCTGTAACAGCTGTGTCAGAGGCACCTGACAAAAGGCACAGAGGGACTAGTGGGCCTGCTACCTGTGACCACCCCAGCCAGGCCCTCCTGCACTGGAGGGGAGGCCGGCTGTAACCCCTGCCTAGCCCTGGTGTACAGGAATTCTAGCAGTCGGCTCAAGCATCCTCTCACGCTCCACCCCTCACAGCTGCAGCTGGGCTGGGAGTGGAAGCAGGGACACCAGGCTCCCCGTGGCTGGGACCCAGGGCCTTTCCCTGTTGAAGCAGCACAGGTCCCTGTGGGGTCAGAGGTAATGGCTTCCATCTGAGCCCACATCTCTGAGACTGGAGGGGCTCACACCTCAGCTCTAGAAGAGGCCCGACCCCTCCCCAGGGAACCCAAGGTCAGAACCCTGGCACCCCACACTAGGCCCAGGGCCTCCCCAGCCTGCCGGAAAGCCAGGGGCCCCAGAAGGCTCTAACAGGGCCAGAAATAGCCCCAGCTTGCCAGGGAGGGCGGCTCTTTCTGGCTCTCCAGTCTGTTCCAGTCCCCTTGGAACCACAGTGGTCCATGGTGCTTGGCGGCCCCATGAAGAACCAGGAGCATCCCCAAGGGGGAGGCACAAGTCAGGGGGTCAGAACGAGGCAGAGAGGAGGCTCAGAGAAGGGGAACAAGTCACTGAGGACCCGAAAGTAGGAAGAACCAGGAGAGGCAAGAGACCAGAATCTCAGGGATTGGTGGGCATAGATGGGGCACCTCCCTCTGTGAAACCACTGCCAATCAATATGTGGTCACAAGGCCAAGCCAAGGGCAGGTGCCTCTGGCCACGGGCCAGGAGAGGGTGTGAGAAGCTCGGAGCCAGGAGGCCCCAGGGAGGGTGCAGCTGACGTGTGGGCTCCTTCCATTCTGGCCCTCTGACAACTGCCGCTAGGCCGGATGAAGAAAGGACGGACCCTGACGGATGTGGGGAGCTCAAAGGATCCCAGAACCTAATTATAGCCGAGTGCTCTCCGCCTCCCCTGCTAACAGTGAGCAGAGCCTGGAAACTTCCCACCCCTACCTGGGCTCCTGTTCTAATGAGGTACCAGCAGACAGGGAGCTGACCCCGAAATCATGGGATCGCTTCAGGTGAGACCCTCCAGCTCACATAAGGTAGGGCTTTGCTGGGCTGGGCGGGCCCCAGGGCCTGTTCCCCTGTGGCAGAGGCAATCTCTGAGGCCAGTTAGGGACACAGTTGAGATTAGATTGGGGTGGTTCATGTCCTGGCTCTGGGGACCTCAAGCAAGTCCCTCACCCTTCCTCGGCCTGCATCCTCCTCTCTAAAATGGGACAGTAATGGCTCCAGCCTCAGCTGATGCATGACAGCCCCTGATCCTGCTCAGAGCTGTCACCGTCCCTCTCACACCGCCTGTCTCAGAGGCCCCGAGTGGATCCTCCACTCCAGGCCTGTCTGCTTCAGCACAGGGGTGCAGCGGCGAGGGGAGCATCCCACCCAAAGCCAGACTCCACCTCTGCACATTCCTGGAAGAGAGAATGCCTCAAACTGGGGAGCCTGAGGACCACAGGGGCAATCCCTGGTGGGCACACAGGGGCGCTGAAGACTGGGCAGGGACACAGCCCCTGCCCAGAGGGAGCTGGAAAAGGGGTGCAGGAGCAGGGCACCATCCCGGTCTCCCCTCTGTGGCTCTGGCACGGAAATCCCATGCAGCCCTGCTGCCACCAGAGACCAGACTCAGAGCACAACACACGGCCGGCAGCCCTGGGCAATGAAAGTTGCCCTCCTCGGGCAGTACCCACTCCACTCACAGGGGTACCGGAGCAAGGTCTCACACCCCTCCCCAGCGACCTCCTCATAACCTTGTGTAGAAGATGGGAGGCGCAAGGGCCTGAGGGACCCACGAGTCCCACCCATCCAGAATATCTCGCCAATGACCTGAGCCAGGAGCCGGATCTGATTGTCTTGCAAGTCTGTCCTCCATGATCCAAGTCCCCAGATTTTGAGGCAGTATGTGTAGTTGCAAGAAGGAGTTTTCTTAACCCTCCCACACGTGTGTGCACACCCACACATACGCATACACACTCTCACAAACACCCACCTTTAACTGTCTTTCCTGCTGGTACCCCCCTTTATTCAGGGATATCCCAAGACCGGGGTCTCCAGAAAGCAGACACTCCTGACCAAGATGGTTCATCAAGCCCTCCTGCTCGCCTGCCTCCTGACCCCACCCTCACTTCCATGCCTCCTGGGAGTAGTGGGCACCCCCTTCCCATGTTTCTGCTGCTCTGAGCCCATATCATTCACTCACTAGTGCAGGTTGCTCAGGGTGAAACCAGAAGCAGGTGCTACTACCAGAAGAGCAGAAATGGGGGAAGCCAGGTTGAGTGCCAGGAGTCCTGGGATCTCGCTCCAGCCATACCACCTATATCGCCTGGGTGACTCTGGACAAGCCCCTAGACCCCATTTCAGATTTTCATCTAAGAACTGGGACAAGCCTAGCGGGAGGCCTGGCATACAGCAGATTGCCGTGCGCCCTGGTCTATCCTCATCAAGCCTTGGGGTCTTAGCCGTAGGTACCCAAGCTGGTAAGAAGTGCTGGGAGTTCCTCAGCAGAGGGTGACTTTCCTGAGATTCCCCAGTGACGCTCCACATCCTAAGTCACCACTGGTGGCAGATGCATAGCTGGCCCCTCTGGTTGCCCCGGGGAACTGTGACTCCTGGAGGTGGAGGGAGGGGCCCCTAGGAGGGGGCCTCAGTGCTCCTCCCTCTGCCCCCCCAAAGCGCACCTCTCCCTGGGCTCTGCCATGGGCATTGCCCCTACCTCCAGCCTCAGTTACCTGCCCTTGCAACCAGCCCACTGTCTGGCCTCCCTGCACTCAGACCTAGGCCAACCCGGCTCAGGGCTCAGCGGCTGCCGTCTCTGAAGCAGGGCAGGAGGTCTGGTGGACTCGGCTCCTCGCCCACCTCACAGAAGCACTTGGGGCTTCAAACTCCTCAACTGGGGAATGAGGAGACTGAGGAATGATAGCCGCAGACCCCCAACCCTGATGTGAATGTGGCGAGTTTAGAGCAAGGCAGCTGCACGCAGCTCCTCGTGGACGGCAGCAGCTTTAACCATCCTGACCTTCCGTCCTGCACTGCGTGCTCCACCCCATGTGTGTAGGGTCCTCCCACCTCTGCCGGTGCCCAGCTGCTGACCGCCAACAGGGCTAGCTTCAGGCTGACTCTCAAAACTCGCCAACTCACCCAAGACAACATCCTCTGCACGTGCTGGTCCCCGCCGCAAACACCTCCCCCCTTACCTCCTCAAGGACTCCTGCTCTTCCTCCAAGGCTTAGCCTAAACGTCAGCTCCTCCGGAAACCCCCCACCTCCCTTCCCAGGTATCCAGTCTCTGGCTCCTCCGGCCATCTTACCCCACTTCCATGTAATGATGAATAAAGGATGCTGAGCGGGCAAAGCAGGCAGGCAGGTGGGTACCCCCAGAAGAGGACAGGAGAGGGAACCTACACGCCAAGTCTAGTTGAGGGATAGCTAACTCCTCCCAGCAGCCTCTGAGCAATGAGGACACAGCTTGCTTATTACAAAATATCCTTTATTGATAAAATAGCTCAGACTTAAAAAAAAAAAAAGACCTACATATCACAATGAGAGTGCCCCAGGCAGCAAGAGCGAGAGGCCGAGGGGCACATCAGCCCCTCCTGCCTGCTCTGCCTGCCCCAGCCAGGGCAGTGCCCTTCCCCTGGCCTGGAATCTAAGGAAGACACAGGAGAGCCTCCGCCCCAGGAGAGGCTTTCTTTATCTCTCCACTGCAGAAAGCTCTCTCCAGAACCCCTGGAGTGCAGAAACAGGGCCTGTGGCCTCAGCCCCACCCTCCCACCGGCTTGACTGGGAAGCCAGGCACCGCCATGGGGAAGCCTGGGGTGCGTTTCATGGGCTCCCAGCTGTTTCAGAGGCTGGGGGGGAGGGGCATAGTGGGGAGAGGCCCCCTGGAGCCCTCAGGTAGGGTGGGACAACTTGGCCAGGTCTGATTGGCGGGAACCCTGGTGGTGGGATCCATTGTGCATCACAGGCCCCAATTTGGGGCTTGGAGTCCTTCCCTGGGGCATAGGGGAGGCTTCTGCCATGGGTCCACACACCCTGGTTTACCTGCTCCTGCGCACCCTGTCTGCCACCCGCCACAGGCTCTCAGACTGTTTTCATGGCATGGGTATTTTTAGCTATCTTGGGGAAACAATTTGCCTGCTTGATGACAAAGGACGTATCCCTAGTGGGGACCCAAGCCGCTGAAAATCCTCTTGGTGTTGCAGGTGAAATGTCAAGAAGCTTTCATGCAGCATAATAACTCAAATCTTTGCAGGCACACAAGAATATCCTTTAACAGTGGTTCTGTCTGCCACTCCCCTCTTCCAGTTTGGGGTAGGAATTCACCCACCCCAGGCACAGAACAAAAGTCTACAGGAAGACAGGTGGTGGTAAACACAGAGAAAGGGGATTTTTATATCACTGAATAACCACATTTTCTGGTTCTCTAGTGCGTTTTTCCTCATGGAGCTCAAAGCTTTCTGCAAAGCCTTTCATCTCCCTGTGGAAGGTAGGCAGGCATGCTGTTGTGGCCCCAGTTTCTGCAAGGGGTGAATGCTAGTGATCAGGAATCTCCCGTGGCGGCAGAGATCAGACCTCTAGACTGCCCCACTGAGACATCCACGTGCCTACCCACCTCCCAGAGGGGTGCCCAGCGTGGAAAATGATCCATGCTTCTGGCCTTTAAAGAGCTACAAACCCAAAAGCTGGGGAAAGGGAGGTAAACAGAGTCCAGAAAAGCCCATAACCCCTATCCCAGTGCCTGATGGGAACCACAGCACCCAGTGGGGATGCACAGGCCCAGTGTCTGCCTCCTCCTAAGCAGCAGGTCCACCTGGGGAAAGTGGAAGTCTTGGCTCCCTGCTTTTCACAGGGAGAAAGATGAGAAAGCCACAAGAACATCACAAGTAAGTGACCTGGGTCATTAAGAAAGGGAAACCCATTCATTGGCTAGTAGGACACATTCTGGGAGGAAGTGTTCTAGCCTACTGTGGCCCCAGCTTCATTCAGGAAGGGTTAAGCCTCATCTACCTGCTCATGTTCAGGTAGGGAGTGGAACACACATCCCCACAGCCAAGTCAGCATGACGAAACTTCTCATGGACCACCTGTGAACCGCATGCTTGCCTCTCCTAGGGGCTTCCAAGATGAGAACTTCAGGACCTGGGAAGGGACCAGACAGCCCCCAGAAGGTGGCCACATAAAAGAGGGCAAGAAGCAGGATAGCCCTGGTGCCACCTGGCACCAACCCTACACGGGCAGTGGGCAGGCGGGCTCACCAGGCCGTCTGGGTCCACTGGCGGCAAAGGATCTTTCGGAAGGCACGGCGAAAGTCCTGGTTGAAAATAGTATAGATGACAGGGTTCAGCGAGCTGTTACAGTAGCCGATCCAGAAGAAGAACTGGAAGAGGCCATGGGGCACCTTGCACTGCTGTGGGCAGATGGCACCCAGGCTGTAGCTGAAGAAGAAAGGGAACCAGCAGAGCACAAAGACCCCAATGACGACAGCCAGCACGAAGGTAAAGCGCTTCTCCCGGGTCAGTTGTGTCCGCCGACGCCACCACTGGCCACTTGCAGTGCCCACAGCCCTGTCCAGGAGCACCTGGCCACGGAGGGTAGCCAGCACCTGGGAGCCCTGTGGCTGCTGCAGTGTTGGGCTGCAAGCTGAGGCAGGAGATGCTGGCATGGCCTGAGGACCACACTCTTTCTCCCTCTCCTCTCCCTCCTCCTCCTCTTCAGCTTCTTCCTCCAGAGATGCCTCACAAATTCCTTCTTTTTGATCTTGGCCTGAGTTGGGAAGAGCAGACCAGCTGGGTGGCAAGGCAGAGGTTTCAGGATCTTCAGGGGTCTCCCCCGTTTCCTTCTCCCCAGTGGGATCGGAGCATCCATTTGTCTCTCTCACAGCAACCAGACGAGAGGCCAGATTTGGCATCTTGGCTGAAGCTAAAGTTCCCCCAGGGACCTGCTGGGACTGCTGAAACTCACCCTTCCCAGGGGCTTCCTTGGCCCTGGGACCTCTGCAGTGGCTGCGTTTGGCAATCAGATAAATGCGTAGGTAGACGAGGATCATGATGAGGCAGGGTGCGAAGAAGGATCCAATGCTGGAGGCCAGGATATACCAGGTCTCTTGATTGAGCTTGCACTGAGGGCGCCCACGGGGCTGGGGACCCTGGTCACCCTTGTAGACAAGAGATGGCAGCGAGATGACAGCTGCGATGAGCCACACGGTGAGGATGATGCACTTGATGCGACGTGGAGTGCGCTTGGAGTTGTACTCCAGGGCTCGGCTCACTGCCCAGTGGCGGTCCAGGCTGATGGCACACAGGTGTACGATGGAGGAGGTACAGAAGAGCACGTCCAGCGCCAGGTACACCTTGCACCACATGCGCCGGAAGTACCAGTAGCCCAACAGTTCGTTGGCTAGGGAGAAAGGAATAATCAGCGTGGCCACCAGGATGTCAGCCGCGGCCAGCGACACCAGGAAGAGGTTCTGTGGGGCGCGCAGCGAGCGGCTTGTCAACACAGCCAGGATAACCAGCGCGTTGCCGAAGATGGTGAAGAGGATGAGGAAGATGATGACCGCCGCGATGGCCGCAGTGGCCTGCACCGAGTAGGGCTCCTGGTGGTCCATGACGGGTCAGGGCCCAGCCAGAGGGGGCGCTGCTCGCCCGGTCCGTGCGCGACGGGCGACAGAGCCGTCCCACCCAGCTCCGCTAGACTAGAGGCTCGAGCCCCTGGGGCGCTGAAGGCGCTGGTGCCTCAAAGGCCGCCCGAATAGGGTCTTGGAGATCCTGGGAGGTGGAGGGTCCGCCACCCCCTCCTACATCCTTCTCCACGGCCCCCCTGAGTACCCGCCGTCCGCCCCGAGAAGTTTTCCAACTTGTCCCGCCGCAGTCCCTGCCCCGCCCTGGATGGGGGAAAGCTGCGCCTCCCGCCTCCGCTGCCCCGCTGTGGGACGCCAGCTGAGACGCTGAGCCCCGCGGGAAGGCTGGGGCGCCCTCGGGTTCTGGGAGCAGGCTGAAGCGCCAGCTCCGCCAGCTAGCCGGAGTCGGCAGCCGCGCCCGCAGGCAGTCGGCGGTGACAGGAGAGTGCGGAGCCGGAGCCGCGGAGCCCGGCGGCAGGAGGGAGGAGAAGGAGGCGGGAGGCGGGAACTGGAGGAGGGAGAGGGAGGCGGGGCGGTCGGACCTGAGGGTGGGTGGAAGGTGCACCTCGTGGAAGCTGCGCGAGCCCAGCCTCCCCGCGTCCTAGGTCTCAGCTCTGCGGCCCACCCCTGTCGCCCCACCCTCCGTGCCGCGGGAGCTCAGAGGGGCCAGGCGTCTGGGGTCTTGGGGAGCCTGGAAAGGACACTTGCAGAAGCGGGAGGGACACTTGCAGTGCCCAGGGAGCTGAACCGAGGCGCAGGTGCGGCTGCAGGCACAGAGGCTGGACCTCTCCCTGCGGACTTCGGGGCTGGGCAGTGGGCGTGGACTGATCTTTCTGCCGCCCAGAGCCCCAAGGAGAGGATGGGTGGGTGCCTAGCAGAGGAGCAGCGTGGCGGGGAGTGAGGGGAAGCCGGAGGGAGGAAATCGCCCAACCCCTTCCCCTAAAGCTTTCTCACCCAAACCTAACCAGACTGGACTCTGTCGGGCCAGAGGTGCTTGCGCTTGCTGGGGTTGCAAGTGCCCCCTGCCGCTGCCCGAATGCAGGCGGCTCGCTCCGGAGATCCCGGTCTCCTCTGCGTCCTGTCTTCAGCCACATCCAAGGGGCACTGAAAAGGCTCCCCAGCCGGGTTGGGAGACGGGAGCGGGGGAGGGGGGGGGCGAGTGCTCAGAACCTGGGACTTTTGACTTCAGCTTACGTTTCTGCTGTAGCTGTTTCAAATCCCCCATTAAGGGCAAAGAGGCAAGAGAAAACTGGCCTCTTAGCAGCCGCAACTAAGACCTAAGACCCTGGCAAGGTTGTTTTGGGAGGTACCTGTCGAATTGCAACCTCTTTACCTCTAGAAGATGATACCCCTTGGGCAAAGCAAAGAAACCTAGTGGGGGGTGGGAATTGGTCAGAGGTCTGGTCTTCAGACAGCCGCAGCTCAAAGGGAAAAAAACAGGTCTTAGGGGCAGCTTAGAAATGTCAGTATCTTCCCTGTCCGGTATAGTAACTCCCTTGGCTTGCTCCAGTCCTGACTTCCCCACATACATGCAGCACGGAAAGTGGCATGGAAAGAGGAGTAAAATGAAGTTCAGATTAGCTCCCTGTCCACCTCTATCCTGGCTTCAGAACTGCAAACATCAACTTTCCTTAGCCACCCTCACCCCCCATTCTCTTCCTGCCCCCACCGCCACCAGTACCAACCTGGCAGCCTCAAAGGAGGTTTTCACAGCTTCCAGAGCTCCTAATGCTGCAAGCCCAGCCCCGAGTCAGGCTATGTATTTATAGTCCACAGCTCTGCATGGCAGCCTCTGGGTAAATGAGCATCAATCCATCGCCAGAGAACTGGCCTTCAGCTAGTATAGCGGCTGCACCTTTGATCCTGCCTGCTCTGGCTCCACAGGAGGGGGAAGTGTGAGCTCTCAGTGTCCACAGGCAATCTCTCACCCCTACCCAGGCTCAGAGAGGTTGCACCCCAGTCACCCCAAGCCATGCAGGAAGGGGTAGCTTCCCCCCACCCCATCCCAGGCTGCCCCTGCCTCCTGCCAGCCTCCACAGTCCCTCTATTAGGTGAGAGTGCCACTGTCTGGTGTGTTTGGTGGGGTAGGTCAAGAGCAGACAGTCAACCTCCCTTGCTCCCTCCAGAGGCCGAGTTTATGGGTGCATCTTTCCCACTCAGCTGGGCTGGGCTGGCCTGGGTAGGACCCAACTGTGGGTTGCCCCGCATGGAGAGGGCTCAGAGCCCCCTTCCTGAGGAAGGACAGAAGACAGAGGTATGACCACTGGAGCGTGGGATGCAGCCATTGCCTGTCCTTGCTCCCAGATGCCTCAGAGTTTGAGCATCCTGGTGTCCCAAATGGTCATTTGGGAGCGGGGAGACACTTGTTCACTTTTCCAACCATATTCTCACCATGGTTTCCATGGGCATCTCCCCAGACGTTGCAGACAGGACCAGCCTTTTATCTCCTGGTTCAGTCTCCTTAAAAGGCGAGGCCTCCGGCCCTCCCTGGTGGCACAGCGGGTTAAAGCACTGCACTGAGAAGCTGAAACCACTTCCGCATGAGTTCACCTGCCCCAGAGGTGACCACATGGCGTGGCAGACCTCTCCTGACCCGCCGCTGCTCCCCTCAGCAGTGTACTTCATTGATCTGCCTGTTCTGCTCCCCACTCTGTCTCTGGTGAAGCCTCTCGCCGCCCCTGAGCCTCTGGCCTGTACCCCAGTTCTGTATGCACAAATAAATAAATCTTTCAAAAAAAAAAAAAAAGGCGAGGACTCCAGGCAGAGCCGCACCAGGGCTGCCCATACTTCTCTCCACCCTGCAAGTCTCCACTCTTACCCAACCTTCCCTGAAAGGGCAGCTCCAGGTCAGCCTAGCTCCTGGCCCTGCTGGCCACTCACCAAGGAGAGTCCACAGGCACCATACAGCTCAGCCCCATACAGGCTCTGTGTCACCCCCAAGTCAGGCACAGCATGGGGCAGCAGGGACTATTACATAACTACATAACGCTGGGCTTCTGCACCTCTCCGTCTCCACACACACAGCAGCTGCTCCACCTGGCCCTGCGTGGCTGCCACGTGTGGCTGAGCAGCACTGCCTTCAGCTCTTCTCAAGCTAGGCCTGCCCCTCTGCTGTTATTCTTCTCCACCTGGGCTGGCAGGGAGCAGCCCCAGAACTGCCACTCGAGCTGCCTCCAGCCTTCCCACCACTGTCAGGGAGGGGCAGCAGTGACAGGTGCTGACTCTGGACAAGCCTCGAGCTGTCACTTTCCAGTCTTTTCTAGGGTCTATTTGCTTGGCCAGAGACACCCTCCTCACCCTTTTTCTATGTTCCTGCTATCTCCACTTGTCACCATCCTCTCAGACAGAGGGAGGTACCCAGTTGGCCAGGCTCCATGATGCCACTCACACTGTCATTGTTGAGATGGTGTCTGATGGCTTTGTTGTGTCATTCCCCTCGATCTAAGCAAACATCCCTGCTCTGTGCACAGTACCTGGCCAAGGTTGCTGATGGTGAGGGATGGGAGCAGCAGATGTCAGCGTGTAACATACATAGGAACCTTTTTTGCCCAGATCGTGCTCAACTAAATGTATCCCTGAAGGGTGGCCTTGGGAAGAGGAACAAGCCACAGGAAAGGTGACTTAATACCGCCTCCAAAGAAAGGGGCGACATCTGTCCTGTCCCTGGCCGTGAGAGCACAGCAAGAGGTGTGTCAGCGTATCTGAAAGTCCTGGAGTCGCTTCTACTCTAGGCCTGCAAGCAGAGACACCCCTGGCTCCTGGGCCAGGGCTCCGGCAGCCCCTCCCCTGTGACCGAAACCAGTTTCAGCCTGGCTTTCCCCAGCGCCTGTCCAAGGTCCTGGGACTCAGCACCAGGCCACCATGGATGACCCCCTCGAGTCATGCCCTCTCAAGTGTGAGCCGGCTTCCTCTCCCTCCATCACCACACCCTGACACAGCCCCACCTGCTCAGACCTAAATCACCCACTACCCCTGATCCCTAGGAAAAGGGGAAGTTCCAGGTTCCCTGCCCCACCCAATCACATGCTCGCTGCTCCATGTGGCTTCCATGTGGCTTCCTCAGGTCTCCTTCTGGCTCTCCATCCAGCTTCCTTCTCTTCTTCTCTTTTCTCCTTTTTCTCTGCTCAGCTCCACCCTCCTGGGTGGGGCAGGGAACCTGGAACTTCCCCTTTTCCTAGGGACCACCCTGTTACACTCCCTCCCGCCTCTAACCACACAGCTGCTTTTTCCGGAGAATTCTCACTACATCGACTGGCCTCGATGGCCACAAACCCCCAAACTCTTCTAGTGTGCCCCCCACCTTCAGAACCACAATTGCCCTCTCATTCTCCACCCCTCTACCCAGCTGTTACTTTGCTTCCTGTTTAGAGGGAAATGGAAGCAGCCGGCAGGATCTCACCCCACAAGCACCTGCATTTGAGCTCCAACTCCACTCAAAGGACAGGTCCTCTGCATTCCCCCCCAATCCACACCAGCAGTTACCCCCTCTCCAACAGTCACTCCCCCACTCTCAGGGCTCATCTGGTCCCATCCCTAGAAAGCTCTCTGAGCCCCACCCGTGGCCACCATCTTCTCAAACTGTCTCTAATCCCTCCTGTTCTCCCCCCAACCCTCACTGGGGAGTCCACCCCCTTCTCCTCCCAATCCACACCTGGTGGACCATTCCTGACACCACCAAGGGCCAGACTCTTTTCTGGGTCCTCTTGCTCAGTTTCTCACAATGGGCCTCCCCGCTGGGGCCCTGGAGGTTTCACCCCCTCCTCTGGGCCTCCTTGTCTCCTCTGAATTCTAAAGCAGTGAGTCTTACTGAGTGGCTTTTGTCCCTGCCCCTCCCAGGAACCTCTGGCAATGTCTGGAGACATTCACAGCAGGAGGGAGGAGGGTACTACTGGCATCTAGTGGGCAGAGGCCAGAGTTGCTGCTGAGCCTCTCACAATGAACAGAACAGTCCCCACAACACAGAACTGTCAGGCACAGAATGCTAATAA